AAGATCAATTTGGGGGTTTAGGGTTGAATTTTGTATCCTTATCCCCAAAATGTTACGATGCATAAGAGTTCCCTTAAATGTGAGACTTCTTATAATTTAATAATTTTTCCTTCAATGGAACGTGATTTCGCTAACGGCCTAAATAATTTAATGATCATCTTATTTCGTTGAAAATAAGAGATTCTAAATTCGAGTCATCTAGTATGCAAATGAGATAGAATAAAAAATGAGAAATGATAACCTTCAATTATTCAATTAAAATAAAAAATAAAAAAAAAAGTAATTTTGATCATAAAAAGAGATTATTATTAAGAGTTTGGACTTTATAACCTGGATTGCACATAAAAATATCAAAACACTCTAATTTAACTAAAATAAAAAAAATTATTAAGAATATTTAAATATTTTCATAATTGCAATTGCATTTTTTTTCATATAATTTGACTTGAAAATTATATTTTCCATATATCTATGGAATACATTTATTTTCTTTATACTTATTTGATAAGAGAATTATCTTCTTGTTATTCAAATTCTTCTCTATATGTCTTGTAAGTAAAATATAAAACCTACAAAATTCTTCTCTACCTTGAAATAATCATTTTTTAAACTTATATTTAACTTTTAATTTAAAACTTCTGGGTCTTGAGGTGTAGCCTAGTGTCCAACTTGTATATATTAAAACTTACACGCTAGATTTTGTCTAGCCAGTCTCCCTCATTTTCCTCTTAGCATTTTAATGATGTATCTTGTCTTTAAATATGAACAAATATGGACACCAAAGAACAAATAGCTGGTTTTGAGTCAGAAGTAGGTGGATTTATCCCTTCAAAAGCGTTCTAAATCTTATGTTGACCGACTTCTAATAACATTAATTAGTAAACAAGAATTGTTGATTATTTGGTCTGTCTAATATATTATCAATATCACATTATTCCATTCCCTTGTGCTTACGATACAACAAGAATACAGCCAATTCCCAGAGAAATTTTCCATCAATTTTTTTTTTAAACGTCAAAAAAGTGTGATCACGACTGAATAAATATGTGAAATTTTGAATATTTAATTTTTCAGGACAACCTTATCAGTTGATTCAATTGATTTATATTATATGGTGTGAGTGTGTATTACATTAATTTTTTGTTATTTGTCTCAAAATTTAAAAGAGTTTTGTATTTTCTCTTTGTCCCTTAAAATGGAAGTCATTGAAAGATACACCACCAGAGATAAAAACAAGGTGTGCAATTTGTAAGCAGAAGCACCAAAATCCGTGGGAAGAGACCACATTAGAAAGGGACAATAGCAGAACGACAGCCACAAAACAAAAACAAGTGATGCACGAGCTACACGGTACATTTCAGAAGGAAGCTCCTAGATAAATTTCATAAAATTATCCTCCCCTCCCCTCCCCCCCTCCCCCTCAAACAAGAAAAAACAAAATGATTCTGTGGG